GCGTCAGTCCTCCTTTACCACTCCCTCCCCGCGGGACCCATCCCGTGCTGCTTTGCCTATTGTTCTTTTTTTTTCCTTTTCTCCTACCAGATTTTTGGTGTCTTTATCTTTTGAAGAGGGCAATGTTCTCTCGGAGTTCCGCAGGTGCTTTGGTTGGCTGAGTGGTTCTGTAGATGTGGGTCTTGGTGTATTTGTGGGAAAGGGTGACTTATGAGCGTCCTTCTACTCCACCATCTTGCCTCTTCTCCGGGATTGATTCTTTATTTCTTTTTTTTTCAGAAAACTCATTTTTAGTATATAGAAATACTACTGACTTTTGTATATTAATTTTGTATCCTGCAACTTTACTGAATTAGTTGATTGAATGTAATCTTTATTTTTTCTTTGGTGGAGTGTACAGGACTTTCTATATATTGATATAATCTGCAAATAGAGACTATTTTACTTATTTCCTTCCAATTTTGATACCTGAGGACTCAGTAGGCAAACCTCCAAGGATGGCACTCCCAGAGACACGTGGATGGATTTTTTGCTGAATCCAATCCGTTGAAGGCCATTTGAAATTCTAATCTGCTCTTTCTCAATATGCTGCCTCCCTTCTCCTAGTTTCAGAGCTCCCACCTTAGTACTTGGTGCTAGTGGAGAGAAATTGGTTTCTCCAACAGCATTACACTTAGCTGAGGTAGGAGGACTCTCTCTTTTCCCCCATGAGTGATCACCTCCACTGGAAAATCAATTCAAATCAGTGCCTTTTGGGAGATGGGGCAGCCCTGGGAAATTTCTTTGCCATCTACACTGTGGCCAAACTCATATTTTTTCTTGTTTTCCTTTTGTTATCAAAAGTTGTCTTGCATTCTCCCTCTAGAAGGCTGTAGTTCTGCAAGTTCTTTCTTCTGGATGAATGCCAACTTCAGCACTCCTCAAATTCTTGCCTAACAGTAGCAAGTAGAGTCCAGTCATACTGGCTCTGCTAGTTCTGCAGCCCATATAATTGTCTGTATCCTACTGTCTGCACTGATGGAAAGATCCCTCTTGGATCACTTAGAGAAAAGTACAAAATCCAGAAGCTCCCACAGAGGTGCTCTTATTGGTGTATGGATGTCTAATTTGTTAATTTTAAAAGGGTATACAAAGGAAGAATGTCTTATGGTGTCATGTTGCTGATGTCATTCTCCCAACATATATGTTTTTCAGTGTCTACTATGTTGCAAATAGTGAGGTAGTCATTACAGACACAAAAGTGAAAAAAATCTTATGATCAAGTAGGGCAGCATACAATAAACAAATAAATAAAATAACTACAAACTATAAGAAGCCGTGAGGGAAAAATCAAGATAACTGTCTAGAGGGATGAGGAACTCTTTAGCTAGGGTGGTCAACTTTGAGAACTGAAGAACTTTGACAGAACAAGATAATTGTTGGAAGAACAGTCTAGGCAGAAGGAAACAAGTACTGCAGGACACTTTTTGAAGCAATTTTAATTCCTTGGACCAATCAAGTTTGAGAGCAAGCTTATGCTCTGCACCTGAGTTGACTCACTGATGGGAGATCAGAAGAGGGAATTGTTGTTTCCTCTCTGAGAACAAGGTAAAGAAAGTACAGGTGAGACACTGACAAATGCAATCACTTCCCTTATCCTCCTGCTTGATTCCCAATGCTGCAGGTTTTAGGTGCTCATACACTGCCAGAGCACCACCACCATAACTTTTTCTAGAGGCTGCCACTCTTTTTGCTGTAAGTATAGGTGCCATTGACTGATTAGGGAACCCCATGAGGGAAGATATTTTGCTGCTCCATTAGAGGGAAATGGTTTTACAAAATGGAATGAGTATACAAGAGACTGCTAGGGTTTTTGATTTGTATGGAATCCTTAGGGCAAAGTGACATCCCTAGTACTTCTGCTATCCATGGAATGGTAATGAATACAAGTTGTTACACAATATTTGTTTTCCTTTTTTCATAATAAAAGAATTTTTAGCTTAACGTGCAGCAACCTAGAATAATGACTATATAGTCTAGTTTTTTATGCACCCTGTCAGGGCCATGTAGCTGATTTCTAGCCAGTGGGTTGTAAGCAGAGAGGATCTTCACAATTTCGGGTCATCCCCTTAAAAGGAAAAGCATGTCTCCCTTTCCCAATTTCCCCAATCATACTAGCTGCCATGTAAATGTGATAGGAAACCTTGCACCATTCAAAGTAAGAAAACATCCCCAAAATGTTGGCGTTATAAGACAAGAGCCTGTATATCCAATATCTTGCAGAAAAGGCGGGATTTCAATATTGTAGAATAGATAAACAAGTTTATACTGTATAGCACAGGGAAATATACACAAGATCTTATGGTGCACAGAGGAAAAAAGTGACAATGAATATTATATATGTTCATGTATAACTGAAAAATTGTGCTCTACACAGGAATTTGACACAACATTGTAAAATGATTATAAATCAATAAAAAATGTTATATTGTTTAAAAAAAGGCACCAACTGGATATGACTTTAAAATGAAAGAGAAATACTTTTCTATCTAGTTCTAGCCACAGTTGTATTAGTCACAGCTAAAACCATAGCCTAACCAGTACAGCTTGTAAAAATAGATTCAAAGGATGAAAGTGTAAAAAGTCTGAGGGAAATTTTAGAGAAATCTAACTACTTAACTATAAGCAGTAGTCATAGAATTTACCTAAATATGACATAAGGGCTCAGAAAATTTCAGAGTATACATTTATATAGATGCATTCGAATACTGCTCTAGAAGTATTCTTTAGTGGGCCGTTTTAAACAAAATGTAGAAATTCAAGCTTTTAGCAGTGATATTTTTATACCTGAATGTGCTGGACTCCTTCCCATGGGAACCATAATAAATGTGAACCAAAGTATCCCTGAACTGAATTCAATATTATTCTTCATCACACTTCTGCAGTGGAAGGAAAGCTCAGCTAAGGAAAACAAGGTTAGGTTAATAGATGATTTTATCTGAGCTAGAACTTCCTCAGATTGATCAAAAAGAAAATTTTATGCTTGGAATTTAGTGTTTGACAACATTACTGAAAAACATCAAAAAATCAGTTTTTATTCCTTACCCCTTTTGATCATATATTGAATAATTCATTTAAATAACAGTATAACTTATTAAAATATTTAAATACAGAATTACATAATGTATGAAATGTACTTTTATATAATCTGGGGTAAGGCGAGTGGGTGTGGGTATACAGGAAAGAATATTGGCCAGGTGTTGATGCTTGTTGAAGCTGAATAATGGGTACATGAGAGTTTATTATACTAATTGCTCTTCATGTCTTCTTTTGAATATATTTGAATTTTTCCATAGTAAAACATACACACACATATACACACACACTCCTCATACGTGTATATGTGTGTGTGTGTGTGTGTGTGTGTGTGTGTATCTCCTTATATACATTTGAGTGAAAAAGTTAAACATACTTAGTGACATAGGGCAGTAATGTGACTTCACACCATTTTAAATCCAGTATCACAATGATTTACTTTATGCAGGCATGGTGAGGGGAGTTTATAGCAAGACCACTTCCTTCATACTTTCATTCCCTGAGCCCCAACTTTGGATCATTATTGCTTCAAACTGTTTTTGTTTATTTTATTTTTTCTTCTTCATAGATTGGCATTTTAAAAAGTGTAAATAATATTGGTCTTTGTATAAGTTGTGTATATTCAACATTATTTATAAAAGGCTGAAAAATATCTCTCCATTACAGGCCAGAATCAAACTTGAAGAACAAATATCCTAAGTTGGCCTCTCAGCTCTGCTTCTGAAGCTTGTGCAAAGAAGATAGTGGAGTTAAGGCAATAGGCCTAATGACAGCCCACCCCCTGACCCACCTGTCAAGGAGCAGTAGCTCTATCATTCCTTGAAGAGATTTGTGAAGACAAATATAAAGCCTTAAATAAGGGCTATGCCTACAGATGGATCAGCAGATGTGCAGTAAGGAGTTAAATGAAGGGAATTCTGTCAACAAGCAATAAAAGAAGAAATATGGTCTTGGAAAAATCAAATAAGTGGTTAAAGCTGAGGAAGTTCTGCTGAGGAAATGGTCTATGAAGTTCAAAAAAGTTACAACTCACTGCCTGCCCCCCAAATACATGTTATATCCTTTAATTACTGAAGAATAAATAAGTTGAAAGAGCCACATTTACTTAAGAATTAATCTCTCACTCCTTTACCCTCAAAATATGGTATAGTAAAAGCAGTGAAATTACTTCTGAAGTGGCTTTAGGAAGGCACAGAGGAGAGATGCACATTATTTGAGGACATTTGAAGTATGGAGTAGATCCTATATTTATATCTCATTATTTTCTTCAGGTCTACCAAAACATCAGAAATTTCTCCTTAGTAAGTATTTATCACTTCCTAGGAACATTATTCTTTTTCAGACAAAATGTGGAGTTCATAACAACTTGATTATCACAGAAGATACCTGGACCTCCAGAAAGCACTAGGAATATAGATGAGATGAGGAGGGAGTTGATAAAATGGAAGAAAGATAATCAGGATGAGAGGAGGGCCAGAGACAATCGTCCTGACTTCACTTTTGGTTTTGTAGATCTGTCTTGGGAGGAGCAGACAGGGACAGTGGAGGATTTTTTCCCCCTGACAATCTACAAGAAAAATCAGACTTTTGGTTCCTAACAATCCTTCAGACTAAAGAGAAAACATTCCCTCTGTCTCCTCATCTCCTTTTCTGCCCTCAGACTATAGCAAGTACAGGGCTTTAATTCATTCAGATAAATTTGTTTAACAAGTGAGGATGTGCAATAATCTTAGTAGGCTGTGGATAGGGATGGGGAAATGGTTTGCCTTTCCATTTAAGAATAGAATGCACCTTACCAGAGAGAAAGAGAGAGTAGGGCCTCATGGGACTTTTACCCATGTATGTGAGGACACTGATGAAGCACCTCAATTATATCAGTTTTCTGAAAAAATGACCATGTATACATTGACTTCTGGAGGCAGAAATTGTCTATGCAATTACAGAGACTATCTTTATTACTAAAATGCGTATTATAAATTACAGACATAAATACATTCCAAGTGCAACATTTTCACAGTGTCTGGGGAGGAAAAGCAAAAAAGATGACATAAAAGTGAAGTTGCACAACAGTTGCACTTACACACACTTTCAGACCAAGTTAATTTGATCTGTTGTTCCTAAGGCAGATGGCTCCTTTCTGTGGAATTACAGGTTAATAGAATTAGCTGCTTAACTAAGTGACAATGAAAAGTTATAAACAATTTGAATACAGCAACAATAACAGTAACAATAATGACAATATTAATCACGTGGAAATCACTCCATATTCAAAATATCTCTTGTTGGAATAATTATGTGTATATTTTGCAATCAGAACAGTTTGAGTTAAAGTTTACCCCTAAGGCCTAGAATTCAGATATCCCTGGGCAAATCAATCTTAAACTAATATTAGTCATTAGTACCTTAGTTTGAATAAATTCATCAGATTACTGACTACAAGAACCAGGGAATAGGACAGAAGACAAATCATGCTGATGGGGAGGAAGGGTTGATAAAGTAAAACACAGCACTGAATATAAATTTAGATGAGCAGGCCTGAAGAGGAGGGGGTAGTCCTAGCTAAGCAGCATAAGAACATTGGATACTTGTTCCCTCTGTTCTTCCTCAAATGATATAAATGAATTTCAAGGGCTTCTGGACTACCTAATAAATGGGTTCTCATCTCAGCAGTTCCTCTAAGAAGTTCAGTAATCTCCTGGAAGTATTTCCCCTCCTTTTTAAAAAAATAGATATGTTTAAAGTAAAATTAGTATGTTAATGAAATTAAATCACTGGTCTGCTGAAATGACCCTAAGAAGTGTAATTCATGCTAATCTAGAAAACAGTAAACATAAATAGGATAAAGTCCCCTTCACTACAAGTACCCTCAAAAGTATTACTTCTGATCGCAATACAACACTAAATTATATTCGAACACAGATCACTTTAGAGCAAACAGACCAGACACAGTTACAGCTACCCTTTTTAAAACACAATTTAACAGTCATTTAGAACTCATTTAACATCAAAATATGTACCTTACAATGAATAATTAAGAGATAAATACACACACTATTTCTAGCAGCAAGTCAGTCTTCTAATAGAGAATCATTTTAACAACAGTATAATCAAAAGCAACAGTTGTCTAGAGAAAACATTAGAAAATGTTCTGTTCATCTTAGATATTAAAATTCATTTTGATTTCACCAGTTCTTTTCCCCAGACATATTGGTATCATAACTGTGTGCCTAAAATAACTCTCTTCTTGCAAATATGATAGAGCTCTTTGTTTATTTTCACATTCCTTCCAGGTAAGAAGTAGCATGTGTTTTCATTATATAGAACACAGTTTAATTAGAGCATTTTAAAAAGTTAAAGCTTTTTGCTCTAGTTCAAAGTATTCTAATATTTAAGACCTCAGGATAAATTCCTACTCATATCCTAGATTTGTTTCTTGCATACTACTACTAAACAGGTAGTAGGCAAACCATTGTAAGGGGTGTCCAATGTGGCCAAAATTAATCTTCTGTACTTTTCTCAAAAGGGGAAAGAATTGATTTCCCTAGCTGCTGGGAGGGAGGCTGTGCCAGCCTTAGAATATGACTAGGGCAAAGCTGGGCCAGAAAAATTACTGAAGACTCGGGTCCACATGCCTGGCTGCCTCCAAACTCTACTCTGGCTTCTTAATGTAGCTTGACAGCTGCAGCCTAACTTAAAGTAAGAAATAACATCATCTTTTTGCTCTGGCCTAAGCTTAGTGCCCTACTTCTTTTATAGGCTCAGAAACTGCAGTAACCTGTCAGAGGTACCTCAATATCACTCTAGAAGCATGGTACACATTCACATTACTAGGCAGATCCATACATCTCCAGAGATGTTCTTTGGATATATTTTAAAAGAAACAGAACTATGATTATCACCTATTTACTTTCTCCTGAACCTATAGAGAAAATTTTTGTCACCTTGTATGGACTTTGACAAGTCCTGAGTAGATTCAATTTGGCATTTTATACAGTCAGAGAGAGTATGTGAACTTGTTTCTTTTCTTACTTTAAACATACCAGAGGCTTGAGTTCAGATTTTCATTCTATTGATAGATATGACAGATGATTTTTCATACTGACACCGAATTAAAGAAATAGCTATTTCAACCCAAGAGTGTAATCACACTCAGGAGATAAAAATGGTTCCTTGTTTATAACATTTTGTTTTCACAAAATAATACATTGTCTATCCTACCTGAAAACAACTAAAAATATGATATTGGGATATCAATTGTGATTACTAGTATAAATAAATAACTACATTGCCTCTAAATACAAAGAAACTCAGAGTCCATTGTAACAAAACTAAGTGTCTTAAGTTGACAGAAAAAAACTACTGACTCTAGTTGAGAGCATATGTGTATAGGATGTCACTGAAATTTTATAGTTTAAGTCTTAAAGACTTGGTGACAAATTACTACACGGACAATTCAACATCTATAATGGTGTAGTATAATGCTCTAAATAGGTTCTTTTATGAAGATATGAATTCCTCATATAGGTAAGATAAAGAATAATTGAAAAGCTGTGAGTGCTTCCCGTGATTACTTCCCAGTGACTTGGGGTATTGCAAATGTGTTCTGGTATACTTGCATTTCTTTCCACACCCAGTTTTTTTTTAATTTAACATAATTCAGTTTTCAGGGCAGAAGTTGTATGGTTGCTCACAAATGATTTTGCATGGAGTTTTATGCTATCATGCAAATCTTGTCTTGAAAGCCGTCTTCTGAATTCATTAGTGGTGAAGTAGTATATGACTGGGTCAAGGCAAGAATTCAGACTAGCAAGACACAAGGCAACAGAATGAAATATTACAATCACCCTTCTGGCTAGGCAGCTTTTAATTTCATTGGACTTGACTAAGAAATCTAAAGGAAAACTGAAGTGGTAAGGTGCAAAGCAAATTAAGAAAACTCCCGCACAGGTTAGAATCATTTTCAAGGCTTTCTTTTTCTCTCCAAGGTCTTGGGCCACAGGATATTTATCTTGCAGTGATAAAACTGTCTTCCAGGTACAATACAGGACAATTAGAAGAGGTGTGACAAACCCAATCAACTCACCAACAGTCATCATGACAACAGACTGGGACAGATTAACATTCCTGGTAGGAAGATCCACAAAGCATTTGGTTCTATTGCCAGGGGTGTCATCACTGGTTCTGAGGAGAGGAAATAGCAGACAGGCAAGGCAGATGATCAGCCAGCCAGCAATGCTGATGTATAGGTCATATCTTTGTTTACAGTCATGGAAGCGAAAGGGGTACATGAGAAACCAAAATCGTCGCACACTGATGCAGACCAAGAAGTAGATGCTTGCATACATGTTGACATACTTTAGGTAGAAACAAAACATGCAGAGGCCAGGTCCAAATGGCCAATCATGATTCAAGTAGTAAAAGATCCTCAGTGGCAAGGAGAGAACTTGTAGTAAGTCAGCAATGGCTAGGTTTATCATAAATATCACAGCCCGTTTTGTTTCTTTCATATAGCCATAAAATACCCACAAGGCTAAAATGTTCCCTATGAGACCTGGCACAAGAATGACAGTATATGTCACTGCATAGATGAAGTATCGAAAGTCCCTATTTTCTCCAACTGACGCAGCACATGTATCATTAACAGACATGTTTCTAGAGAAACTATCTTTGCTAAATGGTGGTTCAAAACCTAAATTTACAGTCAACTGCTGCTCTTTCTAGAAGACTAATCATCGATGGGTTGGAGAGACTGAGTATAGAATAACTTTCTTTTTACTGCATTGGTCTCAGCCTCTATACATGATCTGGGGGCTTTTCAAAGAACAGTCTGCATGCTTACTTTGGATTTGTCTATAGTAACTACATGGAAGTCTAGTATGCAGGCACAATGACAAGCTGTTATAATTTTCCCTTCTTGTTTACTCAGTTAAAAGGCCTTCTGGGACAGCTGATCCTCTCCTATTTGGATCATGAATGTGCCATATAGCAGCTCTTCAAATTCCCATATGGTGATAGCCATCTCTTTACAGGTGTTTGACAAGCTGTTTTTCTTTTGCTGGCTCACATAGGAGAAAGGTTTGCTTTAGCACTCAGTGGGTCCACAATTCTTCAGAGATGATTAACTTGGATGGATCAGCTTTCTGGGCCTTTTTCAGTTATGAGTTGAAAACCAAAGGGTGGGAAACAAAGGTAGAGCTGCAAGTGAAAAAAAAAAAATAAGTCAATTATTATCTAGCACTTTGTGTGAAAAAAAAGGCATATATGTAAAAAAAATCTATTACCTTTAATGGAAAGTTCTGATGTGAGCGAGGGTGATAAGTCACAGTTTCCACAAGGCACTTTAGAATCACAGGAAAGTATAGCAAGAAAGAAACTGAGAGGTAATTTAGCCCCTTACTACTCAAAATGTGACCCATGAATCAGCGTTATTTGAGAGCTTGTTAGAAATGCAGAAGAATCTCAGGTCCCACCTGGGACCTGCTGTACCACAAGCTGAAGAAGAACCACAGGTGATTCTTATGCATATTAACATTTGAGAGGCTCTGATATGGACCAAACATCACTGATTGCCAGATTCACCTGGGAAAGTTTACAACACACAGCTTTCCTCTGATTTCCTGGTGTTTCCTCCAGAGATTCTGATTTAGTATCTAGGGTCTGAAATTTGTATTTTTACAATCTCCCCATATGATTAAGATATAGCCAACCTAACATTTGTCCTTGAACCATCATTTAGGGGCCACTGATTTTGTCTAAATCTTTCCCAGATGTCTGAAAATAAGTGGGCAACCAGCCTCTCTTTAAATACTTCCGTTTTTGTGGGTCATTTAGTCACCTCTCAATTTTCTAAGACAACAGACTATGGCACCAGTGCAGAAAATCAAAATCCCCAGAAAGTTGACTCAGTGAGGTCCCTGACCTTTGTTCTAAAACAAATTTTAGCTTAGGGACCTGGATAGTTGCCTCAAGCTGCTAAAATCCAGGAGGACTTAACAGATTTTAAAGATATGTGGGAAGAACAAAAATGAATTAGGAATTGTAAAACATCCTGCTTTGGATTATCAAATCCATGTGTTTTAAAGTGTGCTTGATTCAGCCCCTAAAGGAATTATTTTTATGTTGCCTCAATTGTCTGGTAAGTAAAATAACACAATTTGTTTAAAAATATGGTGTTCACTTTAAACATCCTGATGAATGATATGAACTGTGCATTCAGGTTGAAGAGGTTAAATACTTGAGATTTCTCAGATAAGGAAGTAGAGAGATGGTATTATAAAATGCAGCGAAGCACAACTGTAATAACATTAATAATGAAAGAGTGGTTAAACTTCGAAGTTGTTCAACTCCCAAACTGAAATACATCTTTGAAATATTTCACACGTAGTGATTTTTGATTATTTTGATTAGGTGACAGGCAAATTTGGGTGGCAAACCATAAAGTCAAAGCCCTTGATTTTCAACCTCCTTTCAACTATTTATATAAAAGTCATCACATGCTAATATCACTGATTAGAAATCAGAAGTTTACAAATATACATCCAGTTAACTTCTACTGAACATTCACCTGTCCTATCACAGCCAATGATTCTTAAATCTATGTCATCCTGATCTGTAGCTCTCTTTCCAACTGTGTATAAAATCTCTTAGATGTTTCATCCTCACCTCAACATTCAACATATGAAAGTGAAGTCATCTCTTTTATTTATTTAAAATATGTCATACCTTGTCAAATCATGTCATCTCTTTGATAAAAACCTCCTAACGTCTTTTCATCTTACTGAGAGGGAAAAATCAAAGTCCTTACAATGACCTATAGCATCCTATATGATTTAGCTCCTGGTTTCTCTTCTGAACTCACCTCCTAAGATTCTCCCCCTTGCACTCTGCTCCAGCAACTTTGCCATTCTTGCTGTTAGGTGAACAGATCAAGAACATTCCTGCTTCAAAGCATTTGAATTGGCAGTTCCTTGTGCCTGAAATGCTTTAGCCTGTTATTTATTTGTTTTACTATTTCACATTTTTCAGATCTTTACCCAAGTGTCACCTTTTCATGAGGCTTTCCCTGATCTTCCTATTTAAAACTGCAGCTGTCCTCCAACAATGCCATCTCCCTTTAGCATTTATTTTATCAATGGTCAGTCATAACTAACATACTCTTTGATTTTTACTTATTTAGTTTATTTTAATATATTTTTCCTACTAGAATGTAAAGTCCATGAGGACAAAGATTCTTTTGTATTTTGTTTACTTGCTGTATAACAAAACCAAGGACTGTGGAAGACACAAAGTAAGTACTCAGTATTTGTTGAATGAAAGAATTTCAGTTAAAAATCATTTGACTATAAATATCAACATATCTCATATAAAAATCATCACATCTCAAAACTTAAAACCAGATTCTGCTCCTGACTTCTTCATTGCTATTAAATTCACCAGTGTTTCCCCTGGTTGTCCCAAAGTCTTGGAAACATCGACTCTTTGTCCTTTATTTTCCACTTCCAAGAAAGTTCCTAAGGAGAAGATCGCATACTACGGGGGAAATAATGTAAGTTTAGGAGTTAGAACTACCTGGGTTTAAATTCTTGCTTTTGTAGTTAATAGCTGTGTGCCTATATGTATAGCACTAAATCTCTTTGATCCTTAAATTTCTCACTGATAAAATGAGAATAATCATAGCACCTAACTTATTGAGTCAGTGTGAGAATTAGTTGAGCTGCTGTGTGTAATTCATTTAGCATAATGTATGGTACACAATAAGTGCTCAATAAACACTAGTTATTATAACTCACATTATTATTAGTATTTTCTGCAACTGCATTATTTATCAGAAACATATTTTTTTAAGAAATTTGCATTGTTTCTACTCTAGATCAGGACCTTATTAATTTAACTCCCTATCCCTTATCTTTTCCTACTCCATTCTATATAATGCTGTCAGATTTTTTTTCCCTAAAATGATCTCTTTAAAAAGCATTCCTATTGCCCAACAAATCACAAAATACATAGTCTGGCAATCAATGGCTTCCTTAAATACCATGCCTTTAGAGCTTTATCTCCCACTGCTCTCCTAACATGCCCAGAATTCCAGCCAAACTGAGCTCCATACTATTCAAACCGACCCCCTCCCCCCATGAACAGCATTTGCTCATTCTGCTGCCTCAGCCTGAAATACCTTCTTTGCCTATCAGTCCTACCTATTTGTAAAGACATTTCTCAAATTTCCTGTTCTTCATGAAAACTTCTGTGGTTAACTCAACACTGTTATGTTTGTCCCTTTTTAAAATCCTCATTTATACCTCTCTTAAAGCACTTACTTCTGCTTTTTGGCTAGTAATTTGTATCTGTGTCTTATTTATGCATCTGTTCTCCTCTTCTCCCCACTTCACCACAATTAGGCTAGAAACTCCTTGAAGACAAGGGCTGAGTCTTATATACCTGTCTGCCCCCTGGAGCACCTAGAACTATGTTTGGAATTTGTTGAGTTCATCCAAGATTTATTCAGCAAATAATTATTCAGCATTTATCATTTGTCAGGCACCATGCTTGATACTGGAGGTATAGACAGTGGAAAAAGACACATAATCTTTCTCTTCTTAGACCTTATAGTCTAGAGAGGGAGAATTATAATTGATGCACAATATGAAAATGTGATCATAGGCAATGTACAGTGTACTCTATAAGCACGAAAGAGGGGAACTAACTAAGATATTAAGAACATATTTGATTACGTGAAGTGAACTTAAAGCCAAGACTACCCCGCTGAAGTTTGTATTTTTCCTATTGGTCACTCCTCATTGGCCACATTTTAATGCATTTTTATCTGTATAATCTAGAATGTAGCCTTGAAATGCTCCTGAATAGAACATCTCTCTTAAAATTCTTCTGGCTTCCTTCTGGAAAAGCTGATAATGCTTTCCTTTTGTTTAGATTACATTATTTTCCAGTAGGAAAAGTTGCTTGGGATGCTTGAAAAGGCTTTCAAACATGGAAAAAAAACCCTAGTTATCTGTGTTATAATGAATATAAATACTCCTGTATTTAAGAGTAATGGAGACAAAACAGGAATGGGACTTTTTTTTCAGACATTGCTACTATTTTGTTGACATTTCCCTTTGTCAGGAAAGAATTCATGTTATAATAGACACTGGAACATACTCCAATTTTAAATGAGATATTTATTTGAAACAACATGCCAGATTCCTTAAGCAAATTTTTTTTCTTACTTGGGGAACCTATTCTTTCTTAATTCTACTCACTTCCTTGGGAAGAGGAAAAAATAAGAGAAAAAATGAAATTGATGGCCTGAATTTAGCCTGATTTCCAGCAATCTACAGATCAGAAACTATTTCATATGGTGTTACTGTGGGAAGTTATTATTTTATTTATGAATATTCATCTGTTTATCTGAACCTGAAACTCACTAAATTTTACTCATTATATGGTTCAAGAGTGTTTTCCAGAAATATTATGTTGTTATATCTTTGTTTGCTTATTTCAGGGAAATCTGGTTTAAATGAATATCTGGGATAGATTTCTGTGTTTTTTACTGAGACTTCTCTTGAACAGATTGTTATTATCTATGGATATGTTAGACTTTCCCCCATCAAAATGTGTTTCTGTATATTAATAAAGGAAAATATATTATTAAAAATACTAAATCATTAAATGGACTAATTTATAATGGTGGTCTTTGGGACATATTAGTGGCATGTAGAAACTATATTTTGGGATGTGGAGCTCTGCCCATCAACAATCCAATTATAGGTCATTGGCAATTACTTGCTTAAAAACCAACTTTATTTTAGAATTCTGGTTAGGTACAAACTTTAGTAAGCCAAGAAAAAGCAGACTTAGTCATGCAAGTGACTGCAAATTATGTGGGGCAGAACAAGGAGTGTGGAGGCAATGGTACCTCTGATACATGAGCAATAACGAATATTGTATAGAAGAGACAGAATTTTTCCTAATTCTGATCAGCACACAGCAAATCTCAGGGCTTCTTTTTCTACTTTCGAAAATTTTCTAAGTCAAATAGCTTACAGTCTTGCCAGGAAACCTGTCCAGCCACTGTATCTAAATAAAGCACTGGCTATAGCACAGTAAACAAATACTTCAGAAAATCTCTGCCTGGTTAATTCTCCCAGGGAGAATGTTCCATCAGAAATTTTATTTTAAAGAAGGTTGTTCTGTCTAGATACCACATCCAGTCAGGCTCCCAACTTCTCTTATCTTTGATATCTGTAATTGTATGATACGCAAGCTTCATGAAGGGAGGAAATACCAATCTATGTACAGAAAGCAGTTACTGTGAGTTACTATTTTGCCAGGAAGTTTCACTTAGCTGAGTCCAAATGTCTCTGCTGAGATCTGAAGCCCATTTCCCTTTCAGCAGATAGTGCATCTTGTCCCTCTGCTCTGAGTAGTACACTTACAATTACTTGAAAAAAGCAAGAAGATAATCACTCAATCTCACATCAGCAGTGAATAATGCCCAGTCATGTTACCTTTCCTCAGATATCCTAGTTTGTGATCATTTCATATCCTGGAGACCAGGGAATGCCAAATGTTAATGGGAATGGATGACAGCAGAGGCTACTGAAATTGTACTGATAATTAACAATTACTTTAGCCACTATTCACTTTCTCGCTCCTCCCATCCATCAAAAAATAAATGTTAGTCAGTTTGTTCTTATGCAGCTTCCACCTCTCAGGGTATTGCTCTTATCCACATGATTTATAGGGGTCTATTTTTGTTCTTTCTGTTTTTCTTAAGCAGGTTTCTCAAAATGTGGTCTCAGGGCTAACATGGTATATATACTAACTTTCTATTTAAAATATAAGTTGCCATTTTACAAAGTTCCCTTTTATACATTACATTTAAAATATTTTCACTTTGTAGAAGTGAGGAGAAGATCACAAGTTATGTTACAGTGGGAAAACTGTACGTATTTCCTGTTCTCAGTGCCGACACGGCTGTGGGGATTTTCCT